AAAAAATAATTAAAATTTGCATTAGCTTAGATTTGACTTGAGAAATTTTTTTTGTGTTTTTTTTTTTTATTAATAATTCAGGTGGAATTGTCTTCTGGCAAAAAGTTTTTCCATATCAAACGTTTCTTGGTTTTAGTATTTGTTTTTTGTTTATATAAAAATTTTGCAAAAACTCTTTTTTTGGGCTGGTTGATATGCGGAAGACGTGCAATTAGTCACATATTAGGCGTATGTGTGTGTGTGGTGTGTTTTTCTTGTTATATGTAACATAAAACAAAATCAGGAAAAAGAATAAACAATTTAAGGCCGGAGAAGAGAGAGAGAGGGTGGTGGTGGCAACCCTGGTGCTGTTTCAATGCCAGCATTCCGCGAAGTAGCCCGTTTGTGGTTTGTTGAAGGTCGATTTGTTAAGGGGTTAGTGCGAGTTCTGTTCGGTAGCTAATTTATCATTTATAATCGCATGCAATTAAGCTATAATTAAAATTATAAAAAAAGCTTCCGAGCCCGTATTTGATTAGTATTTGTAGTTGTTAGCCGTCCCTTGTGTACAAATGAGTTTCAAAAATCAAATTGGATTTGGTATACCAAAGCTAGGGGTTATGAAGTGATCGCTTTGGGCCTTTTTGCATTTTCGATTGTTTCTGTACAGATTTTGCCAGGGCTTAATAATAGTTGTTGAACTAAATTTAAGCACATATGTATCAAGCGAGAGCTATTAACAGAAGCGGTAAGTAAACTTAAAAATACATAATATAAAAAATAGTAAAACTGCCACAAGCAAAAACTAGAAAGGGAACTACAACACATAGAACTACTTATAGTAAATTAATTATGTATTAAAAAAAAAAAGGGAATACATAACTTACCTCATCTTCGCGCTTACGCAAATCGGTTTGGACCTCTTCGAGTTCCTCCTGAGCATCGGTTGGTTTCATTTTGTAGCCATCGTACAGCATTTTCAAACCGAATATTAAAAATAATGCAGTTGATATATAATACGTATAAATCTATATAAAAGAAATGAATTTAAATGTGTTTTTGGGATGTGCCATTTCGTAGGTATTCGCATCATACCTTAGGAATAAAGTTAGCTGCCAAGCCAAATACGCATGAGAGTACCGTCATAAGCGCCAAGGCGGCAATGGCACCGCCAAAGACAATCAAACGGGGATGGCGCATGGCCATTATGGCAGCAATAAAGAAAGTCTTATCGCCTAGCTCTGTTAAAAGTATAACAGATATCGATGCTGTAAACGCATCGATAAAATTCCCCTTGCCCTTGGCCTGCCTATGGTCCGTATCTGTGGGTTTATCTGGTAATGCACTTAGATCCGTTGCTCTGTTCCCAACAACTTGATCCTCCACACCCTGCAAATATATTAAATAATATAAATAAGCGAATGAACTTCAATTGATGGTCAAATGGACTTACGCTCTGTATGCCCGATTGTACGGCCACATTGTCCTCGTTTTCTTGTTGAAATTCCGCTGCACATATCGTTGCGAATGTGAGGACCACCATCAAGGCCAGTGCCATGTGCCATTTGGCGGTACGCTTCAGGTATACATTGTGTCTGGTTGTTTGCCAGAAATAGGATTGATTTTGTGACATCTTGGTGCTGTCTGTGCTGTGCTGTGCCCGCTCTTTAAGCCAGCCTCATGCAAATGTTGCTGGTATTCTGCTCTGGATTATCCGTGGTAAGGTAACGACGATATGACGTGTCCGTTTCGTGTGACCGACTGCAAAGGAATGAAGTTCGGTTCGTTAATCAGGCAACAAGTGTTCGCAGCGGCATTTTTATTTGTATAAGGCAAACAGCAGAAAAAAAATTGCCTGTGTGCATGTCTGTGTTTGGCCAAGTAAAATCTTGGGCTCGATAGCAGGCGAATGTCAGGCCAGAGATAAGGCCAGGCCAGGCCGGGCCGGGCCGCTGCCTCGCACTGCGACAAGTGTCGTCTGATATGGTCAATCCAAAAAGTTGCCTCTACCGGCAGGCAGGCAGACTCCTATTTGGCAATAACATAAGATCTCTTACTATGAGCCTGCTGCCCGAGTGGCCCATTCAATACGTCAGAGGTACAGGCACCGTCAGCGGCACTTCAAGCATCGATTAGATAATGTTTTTGGGGGCGATATTCGTTCACCCAGGATACCAGATACTCTGCGGGGAGTATGACAACTCTTTTAAGATTTATCTCTGGCATATCTCTGGGATGATGGAGCCACAAATATTTGGTTTTGTCTTGGCTTGGCTGGCATTTTATTATCTTCTAAATTAACCTCCAAACATAAGGACTGAACACAGATGATATTCTAACCGAAAAGGTGGAAGCAGAGCATGTGCAAATTTATTTATTTAAATTTATATTTCTACAAATATTTTGAAGACAAATTCCGTTGAAATTTAACCAAAAAATATTCAGAAGAATCTTGGGGAAATTTTGATTCAATTATGGAAGCATTTATTAGTTTAATTTCTTGTATTTACAACTGAAGAGCCCTCTGAGGATAGGGTATAAATATATAGATACGTGACCGACAACAGATCCACAAAAAATGTGATTACTATCTAAAAAAAGCGTGTATATTCATGATTATTCTTTCATGCTATAAACATTTTTACGTTTCTTTATGGTAATGGTTAATGGCAGAGTTCTCTTTTTGGATTTTCGGGTATTTTTTCGAAATGGATTTGCACATTCAGAGACCAGTTTCAGTCGTCCCATTACAATGTGAAATTGGGCATTGATAATGCTATCTGGTTGTCATATGACAGTATTGTACTGGATCGTGACTAAGAAGATTGCTATGCATATCCTGAAATATATATTTGCTAAAAGTAAACCCCACATCACAGAAGGCAGTTTATTTTATTTAATACTCATATGAGCAATTATTGTTTACAAAAGAGTCTGTGTGAAGGGGAATGTGTGAGTTTCCACTGTCTGTCTTGTGATTCCCATTTGTTTAGCATAAATCATCCATTCTGTTCTTTTTACTCGTCATCTTTCTGTGTTTTAATGATCATTTCTGCTTTTCTACCCTCTCCGAGGGTATAATGAATGTGAGCAGAAATGTAGAGATATTCTTGTTTTTTTGTTTTTATCATATTCCAACGTCACAGCGCACTTGTTGGAAAAAGTGGATATTTATTTGTTCAATAAATAAAAGATTAACGAGTGGTGCGGAGTGGTTTCAAGACGCAAAAAGTTGGAGGATGCCGCCCGCCCACAGAGAGGAGGAGGAGTGGAAGAGCAAGAGCTTTCGTTATGCAAACACTTGCCTGTTCTTATTTCCACATAGAACTTGACTACTATATACTATAGATATACATACATATGTACGTCAGCATTACGTCGGACAACGACACTCTGAATGAACAGAACGTAAGTGGACACTGATAAGACAGACGATACAGTAGCCAGCCTGTGGTCGTGGGCGGGCGGCTTTACAGTTAGCAGAATCAGGCGCAAACAACGTGCCGGGGGACAGGGGCAATTAACTAATAAATATATTTGCAGTTCTATTTAATTGAATTCAAATTACAAAAAAAACACAGACAGACGACACACACACACACCAGAGACACCGACTCTCATTCGTTAATTGCTCTCTCCGCAAAAAAAAAGAATAAAAACGGGTCGGAGAACTGTACAGATAAATCAATTGAATGCTTAGAATGCTCAAACTGAAATATTAATATTCATTTATGGGCCGTACGTTCGCGTGTTGTAATGCTCTTTCTTTTTCGAATGGCTTGGCATTGATTTCTATTTCCCCCTTCTATTTCTTTTTCTGTTTGCGAATTTTCTATTTTCGTGATCAACCCACCGTCCACTTCACCGTTCTGTGCTGACCACTTGGATATGGCAAAAATACAACATGCTTATAATTGACTTGACTCCATTACGAATGTAGTACAGTCACAAGGTGAAGCAACGTGTAATTAGCCAATTATTAAACTGCAGTAGTTAGTAACATTGTTGTTATCAATTCGTTTCTCTTGGCACTTTAATTAGTTTCTTTAGCTCTTTTACAGCAAAATCTAGCCATTTGTATTTCAGGGGTTGGCATCACTAGTCACTAAAGACAAACACTTTGCCGCTGACGCAGACAATTTGTAACATATTTTAGTGGCGAGCTTATCGCGAAAATCACTTGTCACAGTTAAAGAGCCCCGGATTCTAATTAAATTAAGACAATTGTCAATTGTAACTTTAATTAGATTAATTTTTAGCTGGAGTCGCAAAAAAAAAACACGTCCTTACATCAGTGTGCCCGCGGATTATACAGTGTGACTGCGTATTGTACTGTCTGATAAAAATGAGCCCACCTAGGCCCCCTTTATTTAAACAGTGCAACACCTTCAATTATGCCGCGGAAAAAAATACTGCTTGTATATTTTTCTTGTAGATCCATCTTTCCTCTTTACTTATACAAAAATATTAAGACAATATCTTTCAGCTGAAATGAGTAAGAAATGTTTCAAGTTTCAGAATATCCGTACGTAGATCGAAGTACCCCTGGTTGACAAAGGGTTAATCTCTGTCCATAATCGAAAATCATATTTCTCGGTTTTGATCTTCGGTTTAATATTACCAGCTAGACAGTACTCTAAGCACTGAACATATAAATTTATCTGATTGATGAATCGATTTTTCACGAGATTGATCAAAACATCCAGTATATAATACATCCTAAACGGTTACATTTCCAAAAATAAATCTTTAAAATCGTTTTCAATGGCAGTGTGGTAAAGCGGCTACAGGTGGAACAGCTGTTAGCGCCACACATAGAGATGAGCTGATTCTGCAATATATATTGCACTCGAATACTAGACTGTTTCAGTTGTTCTTAAAGCTGCTTATTTTATTAAAAGTTGCGTCATTATACAAAAAATATTTAAATTCATTTGTTAAGTGATATTTATTTCCATATGTATGTTTTAATGAAATATATGTGACATTTCGGGCCCAACACGACTCGATATTTGCCACCGTTAGACAGAACTTGTTCATCTCTAATGGACATTGAATCCCTTTTCTGACGGACATTGATTTTGAAAAGAACGTGCTTCGGATATAGCAAGCAATGATATGACAGTGTCAAGATGTCGATATCCAAATTATTCGTAAAAGTATTCAATGAAAACATCTTTGACCAGCTGGACCAGGAGAATCCCTACTCAGACCTGGACGATGACTTGGAAGGAGCCAATTGTTCCACGCTGCCGGATCCGAAGCCGCTCAAGATTGACGAACTGTCCGTTTCCAAGTAAGTGGTGTCTGGAAGCTGCTCCGTTCCGTGCTGAACTGTGAATCCCTTTCTGAGCAGGCAAATGACCATCGTGAAGACATGGCTGGACGACAAATTTCAGCAAATTCAAACGGACAGCAATGAGGAAATCCGTCGCCTCTATGCGGAGACAGAGTCCCGCATCGGACCGGATTTGACCATATTCGATGTGGACTACACCACCACAGTGCGCGTATCCTCGGACAGGCTGGCCCTGCGCTCCCAAGGCAGTTTCAATACGGTGCGAACAAATTGTTGCGTTTATGGCGGCCGTTGGATGTATGAGGTAATCTCTATTTACGGGGACGGGGATGGTTATGGGGCCTGGTGGCCAACGGTCAATGACACACGCTATGTGGCCGGAGTGTGAGTTGCACGTGCGCACCTACTGAGAACTTGACCTTCTTCCCAGGTTCAACTTCACACCAAGGGAGTGATGCAAATGGGCTGGGCCTCCAGCCTTTGTCAGTTCAATGAAAATAGCGGCGTCGGTGATACCAAATTGAGCTATGGCTATGATGGCAGCAAACAGCAGATTTGGCATATATCCACCAAGAAGTAGGACTCATAAATACTCATCCTTGAATACAAATACTAATATAATAATACTTCCTCGCAGATACGGCGACAAGTGGCAGATTGGGGATATTATTGGTGTGACCCTCGATGTGGATAAGGAGCTCATTGAATACTATCGCAATGGTCGCTCGATGGGCGTGGCATTCAACAAGCTGGAGAAGGGTCCAGGCATTACCTTCTATGCGGCCATCTCGCTGGGCTACACCCAGGGCATTCAGGCGAACTTCGGGAATCGTCCGTTTGTGTATCCAGTGCCGGGATTTCAGCCACTCATGGCACGACCCATACTCAAGCTGCGACGCACCAATCTGCTGATGAACTACCTCACAAACCTGGCTGGCATTTTCGCCAAATACAATGCTCAGTATAAGGCCTCGGCGAACCAGAGCGAGGCTCGTGTGTCCACCAAGAAGACTGTTTACTGTATCTTTGCCACCATGCTGATTGAACGATTCACCAACGAGATCTTTGACTCGTATATCATTGAGGATGTGCTGCTGGCCAGGATATCCAGCATGACCAGCCTCACGGCAGAGAAGGAGAACCCGCACAGTGTGCTGCAGGGTCTGCTGTCGCTCTTCTGGAACTTCATGGAGGGCGACGAGATCAAGTTTGTGCTGCGTAAGATGGTGAATGCCCTGCTGGCCACCTTTACGCACACGGTACAGGGCCTGGACTATGAGAAGCATCGCCAGACGCTGGCCATTCTGCACTGTCTCTGCCTGCATGAGCAGACGAGGAAATTCTTGCTCGAGGGCAAGCTATTCAAGAAGCACTGGTGAGTAGGGGAGGGGGCTATATTCTATGCAGCATAAAGCTTATGGCAACTCTTTCAATTCTCAGCATTGCCTTCTTCCTGTACATCCATCCGCTGGAGTTCTATATTATGGAGGAGCTGCTGCCCGATCACTTGGCCTGGACGGATGGCATCGATGGGCCCAAGGACAAGTATCTCAGCGTTGTGGAGAAAGTGCGCAAGCTGACGGAGCCCCTGTATGCGGCTCAAAAGGATTTACTGAGCACCCTGATGATCAACAAAGATGGCACGGCGTCTAGTCCCTCCAGTCGTACGCTATTCCTGGCCAAGATGCGACGCTATGTCATCGATCTTAGCATGGAGCAGAGGGTACAACGCTTAGTCTCAATTTTAAATGTAGATAATATTAATTTTCATTTACTTTTTCCTTTTTTTTTTGTCATGGTGGCAGCCCTTCCATGCTTTCTTTTTCATGCAGTCGAGCATTCAGCATCCCCTGGACGCACCGGTGGCTCTGGCCTTTACCTGCATTCTGATCGATCAGGCTCGCAGTATGTTTAGGGAGGAGATGCCGGGGAAGAATGTGGAGGTGAATAGCGATTACTTTTTCGATGGCACCTTCGACTACATGCACTTTGATCGTGTGGGCGGCGTTCTATCGCATTTGCGCAAAGTCCATCGGCCGGATATCGATGCGCGTCTGGGATCGGTACGCACACAGCAGATTTACGATGAGGATCGCAACAATTCGAGAGCCAACGATATGGGTAGGTCTTTGCCTTCAATCTAATCAACGCCCAACCGCCTAAACTTCTGCTCTTCTGGCAGATACCACACTTTATCTGCTTGGGGAGAATGTGAACAATGTGGCGGTGATTGGACACACTCAGGGCACGAACAACACCACCTTTACGCACTTTATCAATCCGCGCGCCAATCAGGGCGCCGAGGCATCGCCCGGCAATGCCGATGGTGAGGCCAGTCTCTGCGAACTCTTGGATCTGTGCATCATTTTCTACTACTCGGCGGGGCACAAGTATATTGTGAAAATAGCCACGGTCAGGGATGAGATTGCTGCCCTGAACGATGTGCTCAAGGAAACGAAATACTATCGCGAGGATGTCGAACGCAAGCTGCTGGCTCTGGAGCAGCATGCCAGTATCTGCATGAACGATGCTCATACGCATGTGATGGGCGAGCTGCGCTCCAAATTTAGTCAGCGTCAAAATGTCTTTGCGGTGAGTTCCATGCAGCGAGAAGATCGGAAACAGATTTATTAAAATTTTATTTATCCGGCAGACCCGCTCCATATCGATGTCCAGAAAACAAATCTGGCTACGTGGCGTGGCCTTGAATAACCAGAGGCGTTCGCTGCTCATCTGGATGCTGGAGCGTATGATACGCACCCTGACGGTGAGCTAAAGAGCCTCCCTGCCATTGAAGCATTTAATTTATTTCCCTTGCTTGTAGAGTGCCTCGAATACGGGCCCATTGTTCTCCTTTGTGCCCGAGGTGTATGTGAATACTTTGCCCATTCTGCTGGACGCTGTGATGGACTTTAGTCATCACGATATGAAGGCCCAGTTCGAGGCGACGGATTCCGAGTGTGCTGTTACTTCGGCAGCCGAATTTTTGGGCGTGCATTCGGCGGATCCGCGTATTGTGCTAGCCTCCTGCAAGGATTCGCTGCTACAAGCCCTCGGCACGCTCACCTGCCACAAGGCCGGAGTGCGAGCGCTGGAACGATCCTCGCGCCGCTCCCAAGTGGCCCTGGTGCGTGCGCTACTGCGTCCGTACGAGAACAGGGCCTGGGGCCAGAGCAACTGGCTGTTGTTGCGCTTCTGGATGGGCGAGGGCTATGCGTACAAGGACTCCCGCCAGCCCTGTGTCTGGCAGGGCGGTTCGTTGCCGCTGCACATGGGTCTGTGCCGCAGTCGCTCCAAGAACGAGACGCACACGGGACTGCTGCACAATGTGGCACCTGCCAATCCATCGAAGCATTTCCAACGACTGATTGGCTCCAAACTGATTGAGGATGAACCGTTTGCCACCAGTTTTCTCAACTCAGTGCTGAGTCAATTGAACTGGGCCTTCTCGGAGTTCATACTGCTGCTGCAGGAGGTAGGAGGCGGCACTTAATTTGTATGGCTTTGCTTGACTCTTCATCTTCATTCTGTTCTTCGATAGATTCAAAACACGGCTCAGCGACAGGAGAACACACTGTTCGAGCCCAAGCAGCTGAAGATCTGCTCCATGTGCTTCGAGCTGACAGTCTCATTGATGCGCTGCCTGGAGATGATCATCACAGTGTCGCCGGAAATCGTTACAGATCCATCGCGTCCGAATAGCGATCTGCTGTTGAATCGCATCTGCCAGTTGATCAGCCAGGTGCTGTCACGGGTCACAGTGCCGCCGGGCTGCTTCCAGTTTGTGGTTGACATGTGCTCGGCCGATCTTAATGCGGTCACACACTTTCCAATTATTACAGCCGCCTTGGGCATATTGCTGGCCCTTATGCGCAGCGAAATGGACGTTGATATAACGCCGCAGAAGGTGACGCGCCTGTCGCGTGCCTTCCTCACCGATCCGAGCTTTCAGTTTGCCACACTGGAGTTTGCCCTGGGTGAGATACGTACGCCGCTGCTGGAGCAGAAGGATATACCGCGTGGCAACTTTGATCCGTCCGCCAGGCCGCACATTGATCCGCTTACCAACGATGTGAGGGTGCCGTTTCCCAGCAACTCGAAGCGCATTCGAGCCGATCCGCCCATCATTAAGTTTGCCCTGACCGACTGTGAGTAGATCTAATCGAAGAGCTGTTCAAATTTTTAACCATTTCTGCATACAGTTCCCACGCACGTGAACTCGGAGGAGATTGACAATATACGGCGGCTCATTGAGGGTCTGCGCATGAAGCAGACGCTGCTCTCGGACATCACACTACCGTCGGAGGATTCGCTGTGTCCCATATGCTGTGCGAAGCCCATCACTGCCGTGTTTACGCCCTGCAAGCATCAGTCGTGCAGCGATTGCATCATGCAGCACATGATGAACTCGAAGGTGTGCTTCTATTGCAAGACCACCATTCAGACGATTGAAACGCTGGATGGCACGCTCATCTATTCCAACGACGAGGTCGTTCAATCGCCGATGAGCGAGAGGGCCTAAGGGCGAGAGAGAAAACCCACCGAATAGTAAAACCAAAGATATATTCCTCTGGAAACCCAACCAAGTCTAGTCACTGTTAAAAGACAACAACCTGCTACGCTTAAAGTGTACATATATACTCGTATGTAGAGCGACATATATGCCACACCTACAGATAGATATTCGTTCAGTTCAATTATTATTTTGGCTTGCAAAAAGTAGTTAAGATGTGATATGCCCCCCACCCAAAAAAAAAAAAAACAGGGGGCACTGTAAAGCAAAAAGAACAATTAATTGAAACTAATTAAGTAGCACAAAATATAAAAATATGATCTCTGATTTTGCCTGATTAGCACATACATACATACAATATATAACATATATCTATAACTATTTCCAACTATCAGATCTGCATTTTCAAACAGAGCATCTTCTCTTTGCTCAAAGACTATCTATATGACATACTCAATGTCTATGCATTTAAATGGAACATTTTAGGAACTACAGATTAAACAGCGGAATCTGCAAATAAGTCTCAGAAAATATTTTATGTTATTAAAAGTAATTTATGCATTAAAATGGAAAATGTTGTTACAGTACAATGTGCATAAGATCCTTTATGAAAAGCGAATCTCAATTTAGTTTAAACCAACAGAATATAATCTAAGGAAATGTTTTCAAATATTAAGCTAAAACTAAATTGTTTTTAAATTTTAAAATTCTGTTAATTGATGGGATAAATTAAATATGGGAGAAATATGTTCTGAACTTCTGTTATTTTATATATTTATTTTCTATACCCTTTTATACCTCATTACTACTACTCGTATGTACTTACCCCATCAAGCAGTAGAATTTGTAGTAATTGTTTCTAAATATTTGTTCCAAATGAAAACTCTACACCAAAAAATTCGCATGCACCCATAGAAACTGTTGGACCTCTGCTCTGAAAACCTATTGGAAAAATAACAAAAAAATGCTATAGGATTTCGGAGACATTTATTTAATAGGCGGTGTACACATAAAAACTACTCCTTAAACATGTAACTACTACAAATATATATACATATATATACATATATATATATGTATGTATAGTAAATATATATAGAGTTTTATAATACATATATAGAATATATAATATATATTTGAGCGAACCTTAAGGTTGCCCTCAGGTGGTATCATGATGTTGAATGCGTGAAAAAGCCTTACAATATTTTTGACATGCTACTCGAAAATATTTTGTATTTATTTTGTTTGTGTTTGTGTGTGTTTGTTTGTGTATTTTCTTGTGGTATTGTCATATTTGAGAGGTCAAGATATTTGTAATCTTTTGATCAACATTTAGATACAGAAATATGTATATAGGTACTATAACAATTTATACAGTTTTCTTTAGCATATTTAGACATGGAGCTGCCAAGTGTTAAAGCCCTGTGTTTGACTAGCTACAGTGGGGGTGGGGGGTGGGGGTGCTATATCCTATGAGTATCAACAACTAACTAAACCCTAATAATTGCCAACTATTCCGTCACCAAAGCACGCGCGCGGCAACATTGAGCAGAAAACGGAATTATAATCAGAATCAGAATAGTATACATGATATGAATGTGAAGTTGCGACTCCGGGGGACTCCCAGGTACTGCTGCTGCTGCTCCTCTACAGAATCCGACAGGCATTCGAGTGCATGCGATGCGAGTGCCTGCCATTGCCATGACCAAACCCACTGCAGCACTGATGGCTGATGCCGCCTCGGGGACTGTGCTGGAAACTCTGACTGTTGCTCATCTTTGGCTCCATGTGATTGCAGCTGGGTGCATGGCTGTGCCTGTGGGAGGCAGTTGGGTTAATCAGTCAATCAGTCAATCAATCAATCAGTTCATTTGCCCGCTACTTACCCATGATTACAGATGCTCGAATCTGATATGGAGCCAGCCATTAGGCGCTGCTGTGGCTGTGGCGGTGGCGGTGGCAGGAACAGCGGACAACCACCACCAGCGGCCAGATTGCCATCTCCCCCTCCTCCTCCACCGCCATCATGTCCAAAGATGGCCAGCCGCATGTTGGCCGCCTTGACCACCGACTGCGACTCCACCTCGTGCACTTCCTCGATCATCTTGTCCAGCTTCTCCATGGCCTTGGTTTGCTTGGCTGCCAGGAAGGCCTTTCGCGCTGCCTTCGACATGGAATGGGGTCTGCAAGAGTCAGGCATCAGGTTAGATATTTGTTCAGGGTTCTGGGGGCTGAGGGCAATGAACCTGGCTGGCGCTGACTGGGCACGATGGGGGGGCGGTGAGTGCAGCGAAATGGATGACACCGAATCCCTGGAGCCTGGTCGATTGCCATGGCTGGTGCTGGCCTGGACCGGCACCACTGGCGGCGCCGTGGCCACTGCCATCGGCGGTGACTTGGCGCGCATCGGACAGACCACAGCCGACATGGCTGGCGGTGAGGGCGCCTCCAGGCTGGCGCTGTTGGAGAACGTGATTTTCCTATACAAAAGTGGAGCTGGAATGCTGTTCCCCGTGTGTCCCAGGACTTACTTGAGCTTGGTGTTCTTCTCCCGGTCCAGCGAGGCGTTCGATGTGGCGCCCTTGAGGCTGGCACTGCTGCACGTGGCCGTCTCGCGGGCCGGTGCCGTCGATGGTGGCGTCATCTGGTCCATGGCCGCCAGCTCCTCGGGCGTGAACTTGTCCGGATTGCTGGGCCGCGGCTTGGGCGGTGCACTGCCAATGCGAAACGGCGGCGGCGTGGGACTGAAGCTGCAACCTGGCGGCTGGTTGTTGTTTACCAGTGAACCGCGCGACATCTGCAAATCCTCGAGAAACTCCTCGGTGTCCAGGATCAGCGAGCCGAAAATGTCCGAGGGGGAGCGCATGAAGACATGACCCGTGGAATTGGAGCGGGAATCGCGTCGCTTCTCCTGATCGGTATACGAGTAACCGCCGCTGTGTCGCACCGGCGAATTGGCGATGCTGCGTCGTGCCACATCCTTGAAGGTCACCGGCGAGTAGATGCGACTGCTGCGGTCGTCTCCATGTGCTGCGCCAGCTGCTGCCGACGACTGATGCTGATGCGTCAAGTGTGCCGCTGCTGCCACAGTATTCGCGGCTGTCAGTACCACACCCGACATGCTGGCAGCCGCATGCTCCACTGGCGGGCCTGGAACTGCAACTGGAACTGAAGCAGGCAGGGGAGGCGCCATGGGCGTCACTGGCTTGGAGGGCGCCGGCATTATGGCCTTGGCGCTGGGCGTCATCGTATGCATCAGCAGGCCAGTGGCCAACTGCAGAGGCAGACGATTCTCGCGCTCCTCCAGCCAGTAGGTGGCCATGGTGCCCTTGCCCTTCACATCGATCTCGCCGCGCTCCAGGATCTTGTAGCTGGGCCCAATGAGGATTTTCGTGGACTCGGATATGTGCACCTTCATGGCAATGCTGGTGGACTCCATGCGCGAGGCGGTGTTCACAGTGTCGCCGAACAGGCAATAGCGAGGCATCTTCAGACCCACAATGCCAGCCACAACGGCACCAGAGTGCACACCCACACCTGTCACAGCAGCAAAAGAAATGCCCAGGATCAGTTCTTAGCTAAGGATACTATGGGCAGAGATTTCCACTTACGTATCCGCAAGTGCTGACCGGTCGAGGGATCCTTCAGATCGGTTATGGCATCCACCATATCCAGCGCCATATCACAGACTCGCTCCGCATGATTGGCATCCTTGTCGGGTGCCCCAGCCACCACCATATACGCATCGCCAATCGTTTCCACCTTGTACACCGAATTGCGTTCCGTCAGCTTATCGAAAATGGAGTACATGGCATTTAGCATGGAGACCACCTCCATGGGCGTGATGCGACTGCAGATCTCCGTGAAGGTAACAATATCCGAGAAGAGTATGGAGACGCTGTCGAACATCTGCAAAGAGGAATGCGCTATAACTTATAGCAGACCAGAATCCAGTGGGAGTATATTTTGTGGACTCACCTCACAGGTGTCAATGGGATTCTCGCCACGCCTGAGACGATCTGCCACCTGTTTGGGTATCATCTGATACAGCAGCTCATCGGTACGTCGCATTTCCTCATCCAACTGGGGGAATATATAACATATAGATATTGCCTGAATTTTTGCTGCTGTCGTTGACTTACCAATCGCATGGATTCCTCCAGCTTCTTGGACTTTTGCTGCTCCTGATCCAAGGCCAACTTCAGCTCCACCGACTGTTGAGTGCCCGCCAGCATGAGATCTCTGCTAAAGTCATGCATGGACAGATCATTGATGTAGAGTCCTGTGGTTATCAAGGAGGTCAAATCCGGCATGACGGGTGTGCCCAGGAACATGATCATGCGCCAGTTCTCCATGTAAACCATTTGACCTGCGGCACAAAAGAGGCCAAAGGTTAAGCAGAGACCACTGAGTGTGTTTGTGTGTGTCTATGTGTTAACCTTTCAATCTCAATGACTTCTCCGGTTCACTGCCATCATCGTGCAAGAGCAAATCATCATTTTGGACGTCCATGCGCTCCGTCACCGGATCCACAGTGACCAATTCGAATATGTTATTGGTGCGATTGAGTATCTGTTGGGGGGAGGAGGAGGAGGGGGATGTTTAGAAGGGGTTTATGGCGTTTTATGGCCTGTCACTTACAGTTTGAAATTTGAATGCAATCAGCGGACGAACCAAATCGAACCAGGCCGTTATTTTCTTGCCCAACAGTTCGGGCAGGATGACCATCAGAGAGTTGCCAATGCTGCGCACCACCATGTCAGCCCCAAAAACAATGCAAAATGGAAAGATCTCGAACAGCACATGGGCACTAATTGGCAAGTGCTTCTCCTCGCGGGTCATGGCCAGGGAGGCCAAGGTAAACGCGCGATTATCAAAGGTCAGCTGAAAGGTAACGTGCACCGTATCGAAGAGTATCTCCTCGCGCACCAGTTCAATGTGCATCTCCTTGTGGTAGAAGTATCTGGCCACCTCTCGGATCTGTCCCATGGTGTAGTAGACAAAGCCGCGCCTCTTCGAGCGATAATGCAGCGTGAGACCCTGCTTGGTCTCGTTCTCACAGATGAAACTGGGCGCACGCATCCGGGGATACGAGAACTTCAGGTACTCGTGCAGGTTGTCCAAGCCGTTGAGGAAGTCACGCATGTGACGACCCAAGACGGACAGCACACGATCATAGCCATATTGACCCACAAAGCCCACAAAATAGACGCCCATTTGGTCCATAAATTCGCGTTCAGAGACACCCAAAACCTGAATTATAAAATATTTATTTGGCATACAACATTTATTATAGAGGAAATGTTTTTGTTTTGTTTTGGACGCACCTGTTGGGCCTTTTTGGCCAGTTTCTGCAGTAGATTCTCGGGATACACCTGATGCACGCTGAATGAGGGCGAATCGATGCCCGCCTGCCGCCTGATATCCTCCCATTTGTCCTCGCCATACACAGACTTGATGTACTCGGAGAGATTCTCCAAGAGCAGACCGTACATGTTGGCACTGGGGGGCTGGAATTGGCTTCCTTAGGCTTCACTTGGCTGACATTGATTGCGGAACCTGTTTGGGATTTGGGGATTGCCATTAATTGATGGACACATTGATTGCTTGCAGCGTAATTGTGAGTGGAAGAAACTTAATTAATAGAGGAAAAACTACTTTAATTTTGCCCCAATATATATATAAATTTAATACCCCCCTGACACACATTCCCAAACCGCAAATTGGCAGTCCCCGCTGCCTTTTCAATGCCTTTTTAATGGGCTTTTGCTTTATGGCTTGGCATACTTTTGAATAGAATTTATTTACGAGTTTATCCGAATTTTCCACCGAGTGATTCTGCATTACACATACGCCCTGTGGGCTCCGGTCTGACCGCACAACTGTGCGAATTTCTGTGTGTCCCACTTGGTGGCCCAAATCATTTGAAAATTGATTGTTGATGTGGTCTCATTTGCAGCAGACATTCGGCGTCTCCAGTCGCCAGTCGTTTTGTCCCCCCGCTCCACCCTTTTCACTGTTGATTTTTCGCGTCAACGATGCGAATCTGCCCAGTCCCCTGAGCCAAATGTCTCGCCGTGGCTTTCAACGCCTCTTTGCTGGTTTTTTGGGGCCAACAATTACCAGGGTCAGTCAATGGGGAAGTGGTAGTCGTAGTGGAGAAGGGAGATGTAGAATGGCCGCACGTTTAGGATATTAATTTGGCTGGCATTTTGCAGCTGAAGTGCCAGAAAAGATAATTACACATCAACGTATACGCAAACGAAATCATTCCGTAGGCAATTCCTTTTTGACAAGAATTATAATTACAAGTGTGAATTTATTTGTATAACTAAAAGGAAAAGCACATTTAAATCACGATTATAATGTGAACCGAATTTGATTTAATTTTTGAAACCTTATTTAGGAACAAATGAAATTTAATTAATACGTTTTCGAGCCTTTGCTAAGTCTTCATGTGCATTGCCTGCCCGTATAAATTCTAGAAACGAGTCTGTGGTAACCTCAATTAGCCCCAACCGCCCATAAAGTACTTTCAATTAGTGGCAATAATTACATTATATATATATATAGTATGGTACATAATGTGGCATGTAGCGTCTCCCACTCTGCTGTGTTGCAGCTTGCAGTTCAAGTGAAATATCAGGCAACAGAGGGCATATAGCAAAAACCCATTAAATCATTCACTTATATCATTTCCATGGAGCTAAAAAGAAAGCCCAAGTTCTGGCGACGAGAGTTCATTATCCTTGGAGCTATGTAATTGCCTTGCAGCCCCAAGTGGCTGGCCTGTGGCTGTTAATTTACCGCCCCAAGTCCAATTGAGTTCTACTCGTACATGGCCGACAATTAAGAAGGCCGGGGCAATTGCTATTTATTTGCTTCGGGCTCTCTGAATCTGGGCTAATTGAATTGCATTCAAAGCGATGCACCTGGCTCTGTCTATGGCTCTGACTCCGACTCTGACACCGAGGCTCGTGCTTGGCCATGGGTTCTAAGTTCTAAGAATAAATTGCATTGCCAAGATTTCTCTTCACTGCGACTCCTCGAGCGACGACTCCTTGAGGTCTTGCGGCACGTTGCAAATGAATAGCATTTGGTAGCATATGTTTCCTTTTGCCAGGCTTCGCTCTGAATGGAGGGCAATTCGCATATGTTCGTCTCGATTGCCAACCGAGTCAATTTGCCAACTGTAAATTGAGTCATGCTGCAGTCGGCTGCACTCATTTGGGAATTTATCCACACTCTCTTCGGGGCTTTTGACTAACCAACAAACTAACAATTGCAGCCAAATTACAAGCAGGCTGTGGCACACAGCATCCCAGCGCATATACCGACACGGCATATGCCATTTCTGAGAATGAGGTGGCAATCTATTCAGGGTCTCCCTTGGGTTTCCCTCCCCCGCTTCATGGTTTATGGTTTATTGCCATTTGTTTTGTCACAAAAGTCATTTCATGCGCTTTGAGCAGCTTCACCCCATTATCCATTCGCACATAAATTCCAAGCTGGCAAATCGGGTAGCAAATCATAAATTTATGCATATCAGGCAATTTATTTAAATTTTTTACTGCTGCCATCGCCATCTATGGGTGCGGCCATTCAAAGCGGACAGAAGTGGCCCCAAGTTGAGGTCTCAATTGTGACAAATGAAAATTCATTGTGATTTCTTTAAGGTTAGCTATCGGGCTAGTGTAGTGTAATGGTTGACTTAAAGGCTTTTATGGCATGGGATATGTTTATTATTATATGGGTGCTTGCATTTAAGTTTTTGATTAATTTGTTGGGTAAATGGAGCTTGCAATAATTTCAAATTATTCTTTAACGAAAGTTCTAACCAGGAATTCATTCACTTCTTGTCTCCATTTCTCTGTGAAATATCTCTGTGATAGAGGTAGAGATTTAGGTATTCCCGCAAGCTCCATTTAATCCAGATTTAATTCTTAAACTTTTCTATGAACAAGTGCCCTCACATCCTAAAAAAACCCGATATATTTCCCTTGTTTTTCCCCATAAAAAATATAATTAAATATAGGATTTCATATAAACAAAGAAACCGGGATGTCTTGACGTCAACTTTCACGAATCTTTTTTGCTCTGATACCAATTTAAATGTTTTGTGTTTGTTTTTTGCTTGTGGGTTTTCTATTTTCTATCTTTCAGTTAAATACATAGATAAATCGTTGTGTTATATTCAAGTATTTGTAGCGAGTAGAATATGCTCAAAAATATTTATAAAACACAATCATGTGTGAACTATAAACCAGAGAGAGAGAGAGAGAGAGAGCTGAGCAAGAAGTAAAGAACACAAAGTACAAGACAGCGAACAAGCTAAAAAATTGTACAAAAAAAAACACAATATAGTAGAAGAATATAGAAATACAGAAATACAGAGTCAAAACAACAAGTTAAATGAAACTGAAAGCTTCGACCTTCCAAGATCTGAACATTGGGCAGTAAACACGCCCAGCTAAAAAAAAAGAAAACGAAATATTATATAGCGAACCAGTTGTGCCAAACATATCAAAACATTGTCCACACTGGTGCTGTCATCCGTGGACTGAACAGACTTGAGTAATCATATAGATATTATATTATAGTATATATGTTTTTTATTACATATTTGTTTTGGGGTTTGGGGTAAAAGCAGGCCCTCGGCTCTTCCTCGACGTCTCTTCCGTTTCATGAATGGAATGCAAAGTGGGCTGGATATATACGAGTATGTATATGTGGATATAGCAATTTGTATACTTTTAAAGTCAAAAATAATAAACAGGATGTACAAGTTGTGTCTTCTGTGACGTCAGCAGGCTATTGATAAACGCATGACTTCTGCACTCAGATCAGAGGAAGGCAGAAGGCACATCCCCCAGGCGCTGGCTGGCCACAGACCGATTCATTTACTAACTGTTAATGGCTTTTCAATGTGTGTATAGCGCAGAAATATTTTTAGCACCAAGAACTTTTAACTCAAAATTGTCAGCAACAATGTTCTATATAGTAAAAACGAAACAAATTGGCATAAACGTGCATAGCATTTGCCTATTTTGTCAGTTTTTCATGGCATCATCATCATCCATCCATCATCATCATCTGCGCACATTTTGTGACCAGATTCAAGGTTAGATCTGTGCAATTTCCATATAAATAGGATTTCTATTTTTTTGAAATGCATTGACCCTTGTGTCCTTGGGGATTTTGGGATCAAATTGGTACAGAAATATTGTTAACAAATATACAGGCAGATGTAGAACTCAGCCTGAGACTGAGATAAGATAATTTAGCAATTTCCAGCTAGAATAAAAACCTTTTCTCGTCTGGCATACAATTTTAATTAAATTATAAACAAAATTTGTATTCGAAAGCCAAAAAAATTTATGGAAGACATTGAGAGCAAAACGTAGGTATAGTACGACTATATAGCATTCTATGGTTATGTATCCACATCCACATCCTCAGTCTCTTCCTCTGCAATTGCCAGGGGGAACAATTAATTTTCAAGTTCATTTGCGTGGGCCGATGTCGGCTGGGGAGCAAAGCCGGAGCAGACCCTAGCTGGCCATAGCCTTATAGTAGATACTGATTTCGGGTTGCAGAACGCACACAGATCATGCGAGAGTAGAGAGCATACATATGTATGTATGTATATCCACACAGATATCTCGTGTACATACAATATTTATTTTTATATTCAGAGAAAATTCATTTGAAGGTGTCTGCTATATGTTAAGGTTAAGCATCTACATAGTGTATATATATATATACAGATTCGCTTGAAAACTATGTGCTAGTGCTTAGTATACGATGTATTTATGTGTGTATCAGCATTGTATATTAAACAGCATAGAGTGAGAAAGCATTTCAGGAACTACGAGTATGTACGAGTATGTGTGACATTAAAAAACATTATGCTGTATTTATGAGGCAACAGATGAAGAAAAACAAGCTAAAAAGAAACGAGAAATTTCAATATAGAAATGTAGTTGGACTAGGCCATGGCGTGTGCTGTTCAGTTGGTAATTAAATAAGAACTCTCAAAGGTGTAAGATTCCCATTAAAATGTTTTTTTTTTTTAAACTTAGTTTCAGAAAAAATTATTATTTTAGCATGTCACATTAAAAATAAAATACTGCTTCCTATATAAATCATTTTTCGTTAATCTAAAATCCTTTTGCAAGGTGGGGCATGCCATTACCTGTCCATCAACCAAGTAAATCCGCACACAAATCCCACATCAAAACTTTCAGAGTACATATTTTCATGAATTTTTGTGCAGACATATAAAAAGAAAATGCTCATAATCAGGGCTTTGCCAATAGTTATATGTGTGTATATTTTTTTGTTTATTTGCTAATCTTCTATGACTCAAAATGTATATTTGTAGATGATTTGTTGTTGTTGTTGTTGGTTGGATTCTGTGGTGGAAAACCGAAACAAATTGCTCATTTGCCGCATTGACATTGTAGAACTCTTACAATTTTCTCTTTATTCAGTTGCGTTTCATTTCATTTGACAAAGCCATATACAATTGGCCTTCACATTGGGATTTTCGGGGGGATTTATTAGAGAGCAAGTGTGAGAGTAATAAAATGTAGATAAATTATTGTTGGAATTTCATTCAGTCAGTCCGTGTCTGACGGTGACAGCTAAATATCTTTCACCCCCCCAGATGTAATTTATAATTGAGTTGTGTGTAATTCTGTTTCTTATACATATGTATATGGAATACTCGGCAAGCAAATTGTCCGACATTGTTTTGCATGTGTGCCACAATTAGCTTCATTTTTGACCTCATTTCTCAAGAGGCCACAGAGCCAAATTACATTTTATTTATGAATATTTTTGTGTGGTTATTCGCTTGGCTTGAAAAAAAGTACGAGCATGAGAAATTATTGCAGGAGGTTCTAAAATTAAATTAAATGCTGGGTACTTTTTTAATTGGAACGTGTGAGTAGCGGAACACGTGTCTCGACACTAAATCAACGTTTACTTAGTTTCTATTTTTATTATACATATGAATATGCATCTATAAATCTCTGTGAATAAAATCAATTGGGTACATTGATATGTGATTATTATGCTTATCCTTTTTATAGTTGAAATAGTAGATAGAATTTCAAATATACAAATTAAAACAAATTGTTTAGGCAATATTTCTAATATTTATTTCTTCAAATATGAAGTTTCTTATAATATTATTTTATTAATTTCAACTGATAGACAGTCAATAATTATTATTATAATTGTCTCTATAATATCACAATTTTATCTCCTTTTAGGGCACATTTATCCCAGCCAATTTTCGTGTGTCATTTAGGAGCACATCAAAGGAAACCCAAATTTAATTGAATTAAATATAGTGCAATTAAAAGTTGAACAACAACTCGGCCGCATGAGAAGCCAAAAAACTGTGCCAGAAAGTAAAAGTGCACTCAATGATTGGCAAAATCAGCAAAAAAACCTTTGCCAGGTATTTCCCAATTTCTCAATGGTGTTAATTGTTCTCTTTTTATTTATTTTTAGGGGTTTTTTTTTTGTTTTTTCTTGGTTCATCAAAGTGCATTCGTATTGTACTGAAAGTCAAGTTCAAGTTTAAATGAATGTTTGCTTAAGGGCATAAAATACTCAATTCGCATTATAATCAGATAAACAAAGTCAAAAGAACATTTGAATGCAAGTGCATGCGGCCTTGAATGCTGCGGTTCGGGTTGAACGATGGACACCCACCAGGAAGCTCTGTGTAAGCGATCCACATGATCCACAGATGGAAAGGTCACAGCGATCTCCATGGAAAAATGCTCTATAAATAGCGACATATGTAGTCCCACCCAAGGCGGAAGGGGACTGCCCTTCAACCCTGCTCGTTGTAATCGTAGCTGGTTGGGGCATCTTTTCTCGTCTTTGTCTAAACAATTATAGAGGAATTTCCTTGGCCAAAAGAAATAGCATTCGGATATTTGGAAAATATTGCAGCACGTGGGTAGGCTTTTATACTCTTTCACAGGGAATACAAGAATTTGAATCAAGAGTTTGCAAAGAGCAATATTATTTCATGTCATTTCATAATCCTTTCGATTCGACCAGAGCTGTAATCACTAAGGTTTCGTTAAATAATATTTCCCTGTGGTTTAATCTGGAAGGGTATTCCAGATCTGCATTATTTCTTAGACAATTTTTTTGTTTATTTATCCGTTGAAGGCATGTGGGTGAAAATGGTTTTTCCATTACCAGGAAACTAGCTTCAAGTAAATGGGAAAAATAACCAGAAAAGTAAACAGCAAATAAACTGAATTTGCATTCCACAAAGTCACAGATTCAAGGAACTTCAATGAGCAACGAAAACTACAGGAATTACTGAATGGGAATGGTAGAGCATGAGGGCAGAGTTCAGTGGTCAATTCAATACCACAATTGACGCACTTCCTTCGGCCATTTAGGCAGTGCAACAAAATGGAAAAAATATCAAATGTATAAGAAATGACAATATATTGTTCAGTTATTGTTTAAGAAACATTGGATTATATGTGGGCTAATTTGGCTTGCTTTCATTTTACGATCATCGCCAGCGTCATTGAATTTTCGATTTCGGATGTTCGCAAAACAATGAGTGGGCGCTGTGGCGGTGGCGGACGCCACCACACGATATATCAGAAAGCTCTTCCCATAACTGATGATCACTCGAAGCTTTTACACCGACAGACACCGAAACGCACACATGAAAAACAACCTACGCCGTAAAGGAATGCGCAGTGCTTTTTTGGGGCCGGAACGGAATGGCAAAAGTCTGAAACGAGTAAAATTGGTGAGGCGAATTTTCTTGGGGTTTGCAGTTTGAAAAAATTCTTCGTTGAGGATAGATCGCTATTTTTTAGGAGTAATTATAAATTGTAAGCAAACTGAAAATCCACCAACAAAGAAAAGCAAAAGAATTCTTAATAAATACAATTAAATAATCAAGAAATACAAATTAAAATCAAATGAAATCAATTCAAATTGATTAAAACACATTCAAGTGCAATTATCATCGATATAAAGTGAAGCAAACTCATTTCTGTTCACAAATTATGGAATTATGAGCGAATTATGAATGAAAAAGAATTTCCAAATTCAAAAACCTCAAAGATTACATAAGAGGCCACGACCCTCAATGACATTTGATACCGAAAGTGTTGAAATTATTCGCAAAGTTTTGTGAAGTGTAAACCCAATAAAGACTTTGAATTGAAAATGCTGAAGAATTTCAATTATTTTTTGACCAAAACTTTTTTGAAGCAAGTAAATTCATACGACAGCCAGACACAAAAAATAAAGAACAAAATCCAACTCAAGGACATTTAAAAATAAAATCAAATTTAGCTGCAGCTCACACACAGATACTCTCACTCACAGATACCCACAGACACAGATACAGCAACTCAGATAGCTTTATGCCAGTTCTCATACATCGAAATGTGAAAGTTTTGTGTTTTTTGAGCACACGGAAAAAGCCAAAAAACTTAAAACTAAACCAAATAAAAAATTCAACTTATTTTTAGTGAGATTGATCTTGTGAGAGATTGTCCGGTATTATATTAGATATACATACATATGTATATATGTATATATATTTTATAAACTTTGCACTGCTCTAAAGTGGCACACAGTCTGTTTATTTTCGAACTGAGAGACTTTCCGAGCCAAAATCAAATCCAAACTGAATCGAAAACGAGCGACAAAAGATTCCAACTTGTGCGTGCCTGACATTTTTCAGGAGAGAAACAGAGAGAGAGAGAGAAACGGGTGGAAATCTTTCGGAAATAAATTTAAAAAATAAATTTTTAAAAACGAATTTCTCTCCTCCAACTTTACAGCGAACGAGTTCAACGAATAATTCGTGAACAGAACAGAAACAAATCGATCAAAATGTTCAAGAACCATTTGGAAATGATTGGGCGCAATGAGAGCCCCAGCAAGAAGGCCAAATTCTGGCAGTCTTACATTAGATCCCTGAAGGGTAAGTAAACCAGAACCAGTTAACGTTAAGCCTAAACCCTCATATTCGTACACCAAATAATGATTTAGATCATGGATCTTTAGCCTACAAAAATAGCTTATTAAACTTTTGCCAGCCAAGAGGAGGAGCAAAAATAGCCTGGCCCATAAAGAAAAGTTTCTATATTTCTCCTCTACATATACATAATCTATTTCTTTTGGCAGGTGTCATATCAGCCAGGCTATATACTTAGCCACGCTCACTTGGTAGAGCTTTTTTGCCAGTCCGAAATATATAGAGTGAAATATTTGAACAGGCCTCAAAACAAAGGCAAAAACACACACCCAACAAATATATATGCATTATTATAACGTACATGTATCCGTGTATCCGTGTAGACATGTCCGAGTATATGATAGAAACAAAATAGAAATCAACTTTATTTTCTGCTTTGGCTGGCATTGAGCCAAATAGTGGAAATAGCTGAAATATTTGAAAAGCAATGAACTAACACACTGCGGGTATCTGCGTATATTTATAGGCTCTGAGGATATCCGTGCCCACGACGCACCACGGGCATCCCGCCCCTACAGCTCCTACCTGGACTCTCCCACCTACAGGAGCATCTATGATGAGCCAGCCACGGCCAACGAGCGCGTCCAGTCATCCGGCTACAGATATCTGCCCGTGAGCCGCGACACCTATGGCTACTCGCCACGCGCCATCTACGATCATCATTACAGCCGCACAAGTAAGTCCAGAATCATCCAAAACAAAAACAAAAATGGGTCGTCTTCCCTTAGCAAATTGCCCGCCAAACTTCTACACACAGCTAAGAATTGTTTTTGCCCGAGAAGCATTTAGTTTCCAGCTATGGCCTTGCAAGTGGTAATCGTCTTGATGATAGTTTTGAGTACATGTGAGTACAAAGTGAGGGTTACTATCTCCTCATACAAACAAGTTGTTGTGTCTGTCTGGTATTAATACAAAATGGGCAAAACCTTTATTTATATATTTAAAGAACTGTTTGATATTGTTCATAAAAAATTGGGATAATTATTTATTATTAAATCGATATTTTATGGGCAAATATATTAATAGTTCAAAAGATTTATCAGAGTCCTTATCGAAATCTACACTTAGGTGAGGGAATTCCCCATTAAATCAAGTAGGAAACTGTTTACTTCCTTCTAAAAGAGTACAGCTTAAACATACTAAGAGCTAAAGTAGAAAGATAAAGCACCTACAGCTGATATAATAACCTTCAGTAAGAGATACAATATTAATATATTCTTGAAAATATCGCACAAGAAATTCACTCAAAAACAGGAGATTCATTTGAGCAGCTTTGTGTATATTCCATATCTGTATATAGCGCAGACAGACAGGTGTAAGCATCACCTGATTGCAACTTGCAAGGTTATATAAGTTTCGGTTAAGCCGAATGGCATATGCTCTTTTGGCTTTCTATCACGCTTCGATGCACCATCAATCAGTTTTGGTCAATTCACACGAGTCATCTCAATCATATGCCGCATATGCCGATCATTCCTGCCACAAAATGCTATTGACAACACCTTGAATATTTCAGCCTCTGCCATAATTTAATTATATTTTCGTATTCGTATTCGTATTCCGATTCCCGATGCTCTTTGTGGGCGCTATGATTTCATAATTTTAAAAATAACAAAAACACAAAAAAAAAACAAGAAAATGCCAGCGCAAAAAGCTAAAATTGTATTACGTCAATGAAAGATTCCGTTTCGTTTCGTTCCGTTTTCGTTGTGTTTGTATTTGTGTTGATTTTTGGCAAAAAGACCTACAAAAACTGTACACATGCTCATATGGGCACACACAGAGCACACAGCATATGGATATGTGCTATATATCTGCACGAATCTGTGTATATCGGAATCAGGTATATAGGAGGAATTTTTCGACTCAATTTTTGGTGGTGCGTGCTCTGGGATCAAATGACTGTGGCGGCCCTCAGCAACGAGCAGACCGGCACACACACACACACTCATATACACAGAGTTTTCTTGTATTTTTTTTTTCAGATTTTCCACAAACACAGACACACACACAGTCAAAGATACAGACAGTAGCTCTCCATTTACCGCCCTCTCCCCCCCTCAACAACATTTTTCGACCTGTACCCTCTCCACAGTTTGCCTAAATTATAGTTTAGTTTTCCGTTTTTTTTTTTTGGACTAACCAATTGTTTGTTTTCTCTTTCTCTCTCTTTCATAAATGTTTCAGAAAATACATAAATGTGTGTCGTCAAAATAAATATATCCGAGCGATATCTATATATATTTGATATTTTATGCGCACTCTCTCTATATATATTTCAATATATATGTATACAATACATACTTGTTGTTCTCTCTAGGCAAAAGACAACTTAAATTTAGTGAAAAGGATTTTGTGTAGAATTTAATTAAAATATCATAGTCGGAGAATGATTTAGATTGAGCATATACATATATATATATATATACTAGATCTGTGTATGTGTCTTTTTGGTGTGTGAAATAAAACGAGTATTTTGAAATGTATTCTGCTCTCTTTGTGGTGCTTCCATCCATCCATCCATCCATCTATGCATCGACTCCATCCAGGGTTTGCTATGAACTCCAATTCTTAGTTAAGACTCCATTAAAACCAGCATTTCATCCAGCATCTGGCATTATCATTTTAAAGCTTTCTTAATATAGTACTTAATTGATTACCCGATATTCCTTTTCTATTCTATTTGCTGCTTTTGCTTTTGAATAACCTTGCTTTTGGGATTGCGTATGTATCAAATATTGCGCATACGTCGTGTGAGCCCAAGCTTTCATGAGAATACTTTCTGTAAGCCACTTTCTTTTTCTTTTCTTTGGAATGCTTTAGTTTCACTTTTAACATAATTATATGTTGTATTTTGAGAGACATCATTTTAATGAAATTTTGTTCTGCAAAAATAGTTCCAGCCAACTACGATGCAGAGAAGGCCTGGAATGATCATCTGAAGCGCATGCAGGAAATCGAGCGCAGGTGGGTGGTCCTTTTATCAACCATTTGTTTGCTCAGATAATTAATTTATAATTTTTACTTTTATTTTGCAGATACCCATCTCGCTATGGTCTCTACTTGAGGGACAAGCCACTCACGCCCAACTCTCTGGTGCCTTTGGAGTACGAGCCAGAGGACAAGCTGCTGGCGGAGCTCAACAAGGGTAAGGACAAAAAAGACATTTACTAAATTCAAAAAGACAAATCCAAACCAAAAAAAAAAACCAACACCAACATCAACAGCCAAAAAGTAAACAACACCAACATCAACAACAACTACAACAACATCAACGAGAAATTATAATTAATTACAAAATGTAAGCACGAACAACAACAAAATCTACAATCATTTTTGAAACAAAGAAACAAAAACAAAAAATAGCAAATCAAAAACAAAAAAAAACATCAAATACGAACTCAACGAAAATTTTTTCAAATTCAGCCACCAACAAAAAAAAACAACAACAATTTTTTGCAGACATTTAGTTAATCGAAATTTTGTTTAAACCTCATTATTTTTGCAGCCATAAAAGTTTGAAGCGCTGAGCGCTAGAGAAAAAAAACATTAAATAAATGTTCTAAATTATATAGAGTGATAATCCACTTTTGTTTGCTTAGCACTTAGTAAGACTCTTGTAAATTAATGCAGAAATTGTTAAACTTAAACGAAACGAAAATTAATTGTACCAACCACCAATACGGGTATATATTCTTTCTGTCTGTAAAAAGGAACCCCTCGAACCCACAGCAATAGTCGCAATCGATTGAATATTTCGTTAAATGTTTCATTGTATGATATATGATATATATATATATACTTATATAGAAATGCTTTATTTTAATTTTTAACTTATACAAAATCAACAACCAAAACAAACGTAATAAAACCACCAACAAAACATTTATAAAAAGAAAAAGAAAAAAAAATACCAAATTCTAATTTTAATTTTAGTCATTAAATATATTTAACGAATCCCATCTATACATCCATCCATCCATTCACCCAATCGCCGCCTAAAAACCAACAACCCATCCACATCCCACACACCCCCCCGAAATTATTCTAAGCCTTTCTTCTAACAGCTGCTGTACCATAGAAAGAGCCTACATTTTTGCCGCTAGCCCGCTGGCAAATGCTCGTATCCGTATCCCCGAACAAAGAACACTCTTTTTTTGTTCCTCAACTTACTTTAAAAAAAAAAAACCAAACCATAATTAATAATAATAATAAAAAAAGAAACATATTTAATACCAATGAAGAAAAATGTGTGTTTTTGGAACTATTTCATCATCCAGGAGTTTCGATTTTTTGGTCTTTAATTCTCTAACAAATCATCTGCATTTCGATATTAATCTGTCAATGTCTGAATCCTTGTCCAGATCGCTGTCGTCTCTCGTCTTGTCTCTCTCTTGTTCGTCTCACTACTAAAATCAAAGCATAGAAATTCACATTACACTGTGCGGTGCCTGTAAATAAACTGCCAACAAAATTATCCTAAAATATACTCTAAAAACTAAAAAAAAAACCTATGCAAAACAGAAATGAAATATTTAACGAATTGTCAAATGAAAAAAAAACACTCTATGTTCCATGTTCCCCTTCTCCTTGGCAGACAATTATTATTGAATTCTATTTGGAATTTCCCTCAATATTTAATTATCGATTTTGTATTTGTGTTTCGTGCCGACAGTATTGTGTAATTTTGTAATATGTATTTTGTTTAGTATTGTTGATTGTTTTCCATTTACATATTTCAATATTTTATTTCGTATTGAATTCAACGTTGGTTGGTGATGTTTTTTCTGCTGGTAAGTACAATATTGGGAGGGAACTCTCTCTGTCTTTGGTAGGTTAGCTTTTGTCACATTTTTAGCGGAATCTGTGGACAAACTTTGAAGGTCGTTAGGCCAGAAAGAGGAGCCAAGAGGAAAATAGTTGAAATAGGTATCAGAAAATAGAAGCTTTATATTTGAGAGTTCCCATCCATTATCTGCAGCGTTTAGGATTTCCCCTGGCGTATTACTGATCTCTCTATCGACATTTGCTTGCAGCTCGTCGCTCGGCCTCGCCGTTCCGTCCCGCGCGCAGCACACGCGCCGGTAGCGAGCCCTATGTGCCCGAGCCAACGTACTGGAACCGCGAGAACAGCGTGCCACGTCGTGGACCCTCGGTGTTCGACCGTGCCACCAGCCTGGCCCCGTTCACGCGTCCCAGCTTCAGGGCCAGCTCGCTGGAACCCTTGGATGAACTCTTTGAAAGTAAGTTGCCCGCGATTGCTGAGGCCGGTGCGGTGGCAGCCGAGGCGGCTGCTGCCACACGGCATTTAGGCATTTTTGAGCGCGCCGGCTCACCAAGTCCCACTCCTGTCAAAGCCGGTCGCTGGGGACCCCGTAACACCGAAGTCGCCTACGATGCTGAGGGTAAAAATCAAAATTTCACTTTATCTTTCCCCGAAAAACCTCAAAAAACCAAAAAGAAAAAAAAACTAATTTGTCTTGGTACAAGAAGAGGCGAAAGTTGCGTGTTGTTGTTGAATTTTATTTGACTATTTTTTTGTCGGCTTCTGTTGCCTCTCGAAAGGCGAATCGCAAATCGCGCTGCCCCAAAAGATGATGGAGGTGATGATAATGGGCAAGGGAACGTGTTGAAAAATTATTGCCATATTTTTCGTGATGCGTTCGCCTTCTCCACGTGTGTCTGTGTGGCTCTATAATTTGTCAAAATTATTTCCACTCCTTTGGCCTCGTCAGCACGGGTGTACGTATGTGTATGTCGTGTGCTGTGGCAGCGGCAGCAGCATCAGCAAAAAGTAGTACAGTTGTGCCCAAAGCGTAAGCGCCGTGCTTTGAGTCTACGAATGTAAATCGGTTCAATGCGAATTTGTATACCCAATGTACATGTAATCCATACAGAAACAATATTGAAGCTTTGTTGAACCGATTTGCATTCCTCCAAGAAGAACCAGGAACCCCCACATTCTACCCCCAACTGGTTGGCTTATCGATATTGCTTTCCGTAGCGCCTGCCATATCTTTCTCTCTATATCTCTCTATCTCTCTATTTATCTTTGTCTATCTATATCTATTTATCCATTTATTTATATCATTGAGTCCCACTATTTCCACGTATTTCTTTGGCATCAAAGTCCCTTGGTATTTTTTCCACAACGAAACCCCAACATACGCATGGAAAATATCAAAAATTACTGTTTTGTTAAAGCGTTGTTCTTTTTTTTTTTGTTTGATTTACTTTTATTTTAGTTTAAAAAAAAAAACCATAGCAAAAACAAAAAATATTTTTCTTTCTGCTCTTCTTGTATACATTGCAACAATCAACCAAATCAAAAACCAATACCAAAACAAAACAAAAACCAAAATCGAAAATCTACAACATCCGATTGTACTCGTATACCCCACAAATATGCAACACACACAACAACACAACAACAACAATACCAACCAAATATGACGACTATGCTACGACTATATGAACCAACAATAACAACAAAAACAACAATAGGACTTCCAATCTTCCATCCACGCAACCGCTTCAGGGATCTGCTGAGCCCCAGCCCCAACTTGCCAATCTCATCGATTGTGCGCGATCCCTTCTGGTGGGATGTGGATGATCTGGTGCCGTTCCGTGCCACCTCGGTGCCACGTGGCTCGAGCCCTGTGGCCCGCGATTCGTACTTGTCGCCGGTGAAGAATCGTTACTTGTGGTCCAAGCACCCCGCTAGACCCTTGACACGTAAGTTTGCCCCCTTACAAGTTTCGATTGGGTTTCACTTTTGGGTCTTACCAATTAACAAAATTTAAGTAATATATTTGGTCGTTATGGAGTATTGGTAAGACCCCTGGCTGTATATAGAAATAATTGTACATATTTTTTAATTGGTAAACGAACCCCTTAGAGAGCACTTAGCAGTTTCCCATGAAAGCATGAGAGAAATAAATCAAATCATTAAATTCAAATCAAATACAAATTATTATTCAATGCCTTCTGGTTTTTCTATAAAATATATTTAATAAGAAAAACCATTTGGTATAAAATATTCAACTTTCTTTCATGTTTTATATAAATTTCTTGATACCCCAACAATACATTTACAATTCTTTTTTTTAACTTTATAATTTCTATTTTATTTACATTTTAATTGCCATAAACAGCTGAGGCAGAGGATATATACTAAATTCGAACCAAACAAATAGATTCAATATCACAAAAATCGTTAGCTATAATAACAAAGCGACGCTATATCAATCATATAGCAATTCTGTAATTTTTTTGTACTTAATTTTACATAAATTACATGTAACGAACTGTAAGAAAAAAAAAGAAAACAAATTGGTAAGAAAAAGAACACAACAAATCGAAGCATGTGAAAAAACAAAAACAAAAATCCCACCGAAAAATTTGTTCATTCAAGAAGCTACACCATTGACATGTAGAACCCGCACCCGAACCCGAACCCTCCATTAAAATGGATCCTGTAGTACCCTGTATTAGTAGTAGTCCACACCACGTAGAGTTGATAACATATTTTAGATATATGTAGAACGTACTATATATGTATAATGTGTGAAGGTATTCACTAGCTATGGAAACTGTGTAGAATAATGTTGAAATTCTGTTGAAAATTGTATTTAAAATTTAGACAAGACAGTTTCCTGAACTTTTGAGCCAACTTGCATTTAAAAGAAAATTGTATTTAACATTTGTAGCCAAAATTTGATAAATTCTTTGCACGCCACGTATTTCTTGCAACTATTATTATGTGTTTATCTAAAATAATATTGAACATTTGTATTAAAACATTCGTTTTGTCTCCATCCCCCCACAGCACACCGCTCAATTTTGTAAACGAACGAAACAACGAACTAAAAAAAATCAGCAACTTGAACAACAACAACATCAACAACGAATGCATCAAAAGGGGCCCCAAGCAAAAACAAAAAAAAAACAACGACAACAGACTTTGACTTTCCGAAGAGCTGGAAACCCTAGTCCAAAGTAGCAAAAGGTGCAAAAACCTTTCCGTAGTCTCAATATCCTACAACAACGTTTGAATTTTTTCAAAACTGCAAAGAACCCACCAGGAATTAACATCTTTCTGTGGCTTCTATAAACTTTTTGCCATACGAAGTGCATACTTCCCGTAGTTAAAACGATATAGAAAAAAAGAAGAAGAAATGAAAACCGAATCAAACTCAAACTCTTTCTATAATTTTTTTATTATTATTTTCTCAATTCTTAAGATCATGTCTTAATTCTTAAGTGCAAGTATATGAAAAAAAAATCGATTTACATTTATTATAATAAAAGCATAAAATCTTATGACCTACCCCACTTCGAAACAAAATCATCGAACGATCAATGGGGCGCCATAAATTGTTCCTTTTTTGTATATTTTAGACTCTAAAAATATGAATATTTACATAACTACATATATTTGTATTTGTAAAACACACGACTCTGTCGCCGGAGATCGAGAACATTTTGAAAACTGTAAACGGATGAATTTTTCAATGTTTTTTGAATGACTCTATGGGATCTATGGATCATTGCCACACTACATCCAACATTCGGCTACTTAATCCATAATTGTTCTGACACATTTTCAATTTGTAATAAAACTTAAACAAAAAAAAACAAAATTATTAATAATAAAAAAAAACTTCTAAAACCTAAGCAAAATTTTGGTTAAATAATTTTGTACTCCACTTTTAATAATCTAATGGGTTTTAGTCGTTATTATTTAGGTACTCCTGAAAATGATAGAAATTTGAACGTTTACTCTTGAAGCCTGTCAGAATTGTAAACGAAACGGGGCCAAGTCAACTTTCATTGAGTTCTGTTGGTTCCCCGTTGCCCCAGTCCCCAATGTCTGTCCGTTTTGTGTAGCAGCTTTTGCCATTTATCTTTTCATTTACTGCCTCATTGCTCTATTTTTTTGTGTGTGCGTTACTTTGACGTTTTTGGCGTTTAGCACGCAATTGTTTCGCACTCATATTCCCCGCCGCCTGCCATTTGTCTATGCCAGCACTCTGGCGGAGTGTCCTTTGGGGAGCTGCGAAAAAGAAGTATGAGAGGCCACCAGGAGCCTGCCAAGTCCTTGGAGCATGGAACACGCTCCACGGTGTTTGCTCTCCAATCGCCTTAATTTTCTTTTGTTCCTCCATTCACTGGTCATTTTTGACTTTTTTTCGGCTACGCATGTATATGCGAGTATGGTTTTTTCATTCATTCTATTTAATTATTGATTCTAACGAATTTTTGTATTTGCCAAAGGTCAATGCAATGTCAGACTCAACTCTACTCCTGCGGGATCCCCGATGCCAATTTCAATTTCTTTTTAACAACGTTCCCTCCAGAGTATTCCCCCTTTGTGTGTGAGCAATTTGGTTCTGTTTTTGTGGTGAAATGGAAAATGTTTGCCCAGTCACGTGCAGACTTTGAAATTTTTCGTGTGCCTTCGGCTCGTTTAATTAAAAATTATATTAATTTCCATCACCGACTATACCATGCCCATACTCGTATAAATAAATGTGTAGCATAATCTCCCTCCATTAACAAGCCAAATCCGAGCTGGAAGCATTCCAAAATTGTGTAGTAGTGCTCAGTCATGGCAAATGCTTTGTGCGAATGAGATGAATGTTTTCCCCGTCTATTGTTCTTTTCTTCCTCAATGGGCTGGCTGTGTTTTCGCTGAGTGAGAATGTTTTAGGGTGTGATAACGAAGAGGGGCTTTTCTGACCGTGATTCACGCTTAGGTCTATCCGTTGCTCTGTCAAAATTAATTGACTTCTCAGAGCCATCATGAAAACAGAAAGATGAACAATAAATTAAAGAAAAATCTCCAAGGCATATATACACCACATATGTATGTATTATGCATAGATGGAAGCTTGCAATGTCTATTTATGGACATTTATTTTATAATATTTGCAAATAATCTTTTGAGCAAAAAGTGAAAAAGCTTATCACGGATTTACTTGCATTGACGTGATGTAAAATTGCAATTTCCAGAAAAATGTCACAAACAATATTTCCTGCAATACCAAGAAAACCTTATGGCGAAATATCATTTAAGCCGCTTTTATAACTTTGAGTACCCTTTTTTTTCGCGCGTGTTGAAGTTCCGGAAAAAATTGCAACTGTAAACAGTTTCAATTGCAATACCAAGAAAAAAATGTACATTCACTTCGAAAGGGTTCAGGTTCCTTCATAAAAAATATTTTCCCGATTTCTTTGAATGCTTTGGCAAATACCCGGAAAAATATCACCTGAAAGCAACGCCATTAAAAGTTCTTTGTTAACTTTCCCTTTAAACATATTTTCCAACATATTTTTTTATCATTTCCCTTTTCCGCAAGTCTTCTTTGACATCCTTTAACTTCCGTTCGAGTTGTTGTATCAGAAAAAATGTCACCCAACAACATTTTAAATTGCATTGCCAAAAAAAACTGTGCAAACCGAAAGCTGGCCCAAAAAACACAAATTGTGGCTCCTGCTATCTGTCACAACGTTTGGATGTCCCTCTTCTGGCTGCTGCTCATCTGTGGTTTGGGCCTGTTGCTGACGGCCTGGTGCCCGAACGGAAGATTTATGTCTTGTGGGAAAAAGTTTTTTCTTTCTGTTATTTTGCTGGTGGGTTGTTGGCCATCAAATGCACGTGCCTGAGAGTTGGCTATAACTGACAGTTCCTGTGCTAATTGGTATGGGCACTCGCACTCGCTCTCTTTGGGCCACTTTAAATGCCTGTCACAAATGCTTCCTCACACACACACACACATGGCAAATGAAAATGGCCCCCAAAAACACCATTGCCTGCTTTTTGGCTTGCATTTTCCATTGTTTTCTCTTTGAGCTTCAAAAAGGGTTCGGCTTAATTGTAGTATATTTTGTTTGGCAACACTAAGCTGAAGGGAAAGCGAAGTCGGGCGTGGAACTTGGTTTGCTTGAGTGCCGTTTGGGTCAATGAAATTAATTACAGAAAAACCACACACAAATTTAATTTATCCATCCTTAAAAGAAATGGCCGTTAAAGCAGACTGAAAGTGAAAATGTTTCAATTTTCTATCCGTCTATCCCAGAGGACAGCCACCAAACAGTCCGCCTGCCTTTAACTGATGGAAATCCTTCTGGAACTCCAGTCCCTCTTGTTGAAAGGTGCTTTAACTGTCTGTCATGGAGATCACTTTAATTATTTGTGATTTATATTGTGCGAAATTCTTGGAAGAAGATTTTGAAAGCTTGCCTGAAGGTTAACTTAAAGTTAAATGATTGTTCAGTGGAATATTGTGGTGGAAGAAGTAAAGTTAAGGCAGCTCTTTCCCAGAATATTACCCACTTAGGAAGTAGAGTTAAGTCAGCTAGAAGCTGATGGAAAAGAACAAGAACAATAATTTAAAACATCGTTAAGATAAAATACCAAACCCACACAGCAAACTGCATCAGGTTTCCTTTTACAATCTCCTCCTACATCGTTCATACGCCATGCTGGATGCTTTTTGTTAATGCAACAGCTGTTCCCACCAACAAATCTCTACCCACACTCACAAAACTCTGCCAGAGGATGAGCTATATACGAGTATGACTAACAAAACTTTGTGTGGGGGGGGAAACCAGGCAAACAACTTTGTCATTATCCCAGGCCACAACACCTGAGCCACCAACAGGGCAAAGCGACCAAAGCGGAAGTCACAACTAAAAGAAAAATGCTGGTAAGTAGTTTGGGTCGTCGCGGCAAAGTCCCGCATACTTATCCCTTATTCGGCCCCAGACCATCTACTCTGTACTTTTACAGAAAATTGAGATAAATAAGTTGAAATGGTGTGTATGTATAACGAATGCCCGCTACTCTGCTATACGAGGCCTTTAAAGAGTACAGGAAGACCTTCTGACCTCAAAAAGATCATCATCATTTAAAGCCGAGGCCATGTAGCCTTCTCTGTCACTGAAACTGCATGCAAGCCTCCTATTCAAGCCTCCTTCCGCCCCTTTCGGCCTGATTTTGGTCGAATAATTTTTGCAGTCAGAATAAAGAAAACAATTTTCCGTGGATGACATCCCTGTATCGTGTTCTTTTTCACAGAGTAGCTGAGCAGTAAAGGGTGAGGTCCGGCAGGAAAATAAAAATTAAAAATTGCTTTAACTTACATTCACAAGATAGGACCAATATATTTAAGTTTACGCCAAAGCTCATACCCCACAAATACCGTGGATAAAAAAGCAAACTCTCCGAAGCAGCCTTAAGCTGGGGTTTTTCTCCTTTTCCAATTTTCTCCTCTTAGACTGCCTTGGACTGCAACTTTGATTGATCAGCCATAAGCTGATTAATGTGTTCAGTCGTAGGAGCCCGCAAAATCCATGGGCAGTATGCGTTAAGTGATTAGCTGGAAGATAGATATCCATCTTCGTTTCTTCGCTAGCTGCGTAACTTTAGTCGCGAACAAATTGAGTGAAGCTTTGGCCGTTGTTCAGGTCATTTATCATAAACATTATATTGAACAGTTAGCGATAATTTATGCGGCAGTTTGGTACGGCCTGTGCCCACTGTCACCGCAGCCAAATCTGCATGAAAAACGAAGGTCAACCCTTTCCCAATTTCCGTGGGCGTGCCACAAGAATGCCCAGGGATGCGGAAGTGATTACTTTCAGGTCTCTTTCGAAAGCACTGAGTGGGCTTTGTGGTGCTGCTTTCGGTGCCTCCTTCTGTCACTTGAATTATGAACGAGCTGTGCGTATATGTCACCACTCTCTGCGTGCGTGTGTGTGTGTGTGTGTGTGTGCGTAGGGCCCCGGAAAATGTTCAATTTTTCCCCTCTTCGTTATTAAGCTTTAATGTAAAAATGGAGTTTCAATGTTTTCGTGCTTGTTTGGAATTTAAGTTTCAAGTGGATTGGAGTCAGATTTTAAAGCATATCTTTGGGGGTTGGGAAAAATTGGATTCAAGTGAATTTAAGTTTTGAAATATAGGTACTAATATTACCCTTAATTCGTAGGCTCATATTAAACCAATTGCTGGCAA